CTGTTACCTTCAATTAATTGAAATTGAAGTTGTATTTTCATAGAATCACAGAATGGTTTGTACTGGAAGGGACCTTAAAGATCACCTAGTACCAACCCCCCTGCCTTGAACAGGGACACCTTCCACTAGACCAGGTTGCTCAAAGCCTCATCCAACGTGTCCTTGAACACTTCCAGACAGGGACCATCCACGGCTTCTCTGAGCAACCTGTTCCAGTGTCTGACCACCCTCACCTCTAAATCTACCCTTTTCCAGTTTATAGTCATTACCTCTTGTTCTGTCACTACCTGCCCTTGTAACAAGTCCCTCCCCAGCCTTCCTGTAGCCCCTTCAGGTACTGAGAGGCCACTATAAGGTCTCTCCGGAGCCTTCTCTTCTCCAGGCTGAACAGCCCCAACTCTCTCAGCCTGTCCTCGTAGCAGAGGTGCTCCAGCCCTCAGATCATCCCTGTGGCCTCCTCTAGACTCACTCCAGTAGGTCCATGTCCTTCTTATTTTGGGGGGCAGTATTCCATGTGGGGTCTCACGAGAGTGGAGTAGGGGGACAGAATCACCTCCCTCAACCTGATGGCCACACTCCTCTTGATGTAGCCCAGGTTACGGTTGGCTTTCTGGGCTGTGAGTGCACATTGCCGGCTCATTCAGCTTCTTGTCCTCTAGTACCCCAAAGTCCTTCTACTCAGGACAGCTCTCGATCTGTTCTCCACCCAGCCTGTATTTATGTTTAGGATTGCCCCGACCCAGGTGCACGACCTTGCACTTGACCTTGTTGATCTTCATGAGGTTTGCACAGTCCATCTGTCAAGTCTGTCAAAGTCCCTATATTTTTATTTAGCAGAGCAAACCCTGCAGCTGACTTGAGAGGAGTGCAGGATATTTGTAAGGCAGAAGTTGTCATGCTTAAATTTTTACATTGGCTTGCCACATTGAATCTGGGAGTGACAGTTCAGCACAGCAAGGGATGTGGTGACATGTAAATGCATCACTGTAGTGCCTCAGGGAAATAACCAATTGCCAGCATCAAAGAGCAAGGAAAGATACCTAGTGACAGGAGAATGTAAACTAATAATTCATTCCCTTTATAGAGAATCCAAACATGCTATTTTATTAAGCTGATTTGAGATACCTTCATCTTGAGAAGAATTTACTTGTCTATGCACGTGTAGTTCTACCACAGTGCTATTGCAAGTGTTGATACATCTGTGAATATCAGCCTGGTGGTTTGTGAAGGATCCTACTAGAGTTTGGAGAACCAGGAGTTGGATATATCTTTTATTATTTTTAAAAATTATTTTTCATTGGTTTTTGCACTGCAGTCAGACTACAGGAATAAAAAATGTTGGAACTATTTAGTAATATTTTTCATAACTTCCTATAGGAATAAGTTGAATTTATT